ACAATTGCCCACACAGCAAACACCCACAGTCCACCCACCTGCTTATCTACCTACCTGCCCACGGATTCACCCACCTGCACACCTGCCGGGAACACAAGCAGGCCAAGTTCTGCCCTTGAGAAGCTCAAGTCATGGTGCAGAGAGATAGACAACAACCACAGAGACCAACGAGAATGTGTGAGGGAAGAAAGCAACATGAGGTGCTGGGAGGGAACATGACCCAGAGGACACCTGGGGAGATGTGGGAAGGGAGGGACATTCCTAGTACCTAGAATGCCCTCTCTTGGGGTACGCCATTGTCTTGGTTGTTAAAAATAACAAGCGAACCCTAGGGCAGTCACAGCTAATCGGTGCCACTAATTGATGTGATGCAAGGGCATCTTGTCTCCCCGTCAAGGTGCAGCTTCTGGCTAGAACCATTTGCACTCCATGCACCCCAACATTCCCAGGTTTTCAAACGAATTTTATTTTGGTGCCAGTACTGGGCCTTGAACTTAAGTGCTTAGGTGCTATCTCTTAGCTTTTTTACTCAAGGCCAGTGCTTTACCACTTGAACCACAGATTCAGTTCTGGCTTTTTTTTTTTTTTACTGGTTAATTGGAGATAGGAATCTTATAGACTTCCCTGCTCCAGCTGGTGTTGAGTAAGTAATCCTCAGCTCTTAGCCTCCTGAGATACTAGGTTGACAGGCGTGAGCCACCAGGCCCTGCTTTCTATATCAAGCAGCAAGAAACTGTTAACTAGCATATGAAAGCTGTTCTCGCTCCCCAGAATTATGTCTTTGCCCACACTGAGGTTCAGAAAGAAGGGTTCACCTCCTAGTGCTGTGCAGGGCTAGCCAAGGTAGCAGCTGAGCCTGCCGGCCAGCGCCAATCACTTGACCCAGGTGAGTCAGACACAGAGTCTTGGGTCACGAAGTATCCACCTCCAGAAGCATCTGCAGTTCCGCTGCCTGAGCACCATCCCCGGGGATTCTGGGAGAAACAGTTGAATGTGGTGGACTCCAATAATGGCCCACATAGGAGTGGCCTGGGGGTGGGAAGCAGGTGGCAGACAATTATTCCAACCCCATATATAACTCTTAGTGGAACTCGGGGCCAGCCTGGGATTAGTAGGTGGCTGAGAAGATGGTGACCCAAGACTATGGCTCAGACTCCCAGCTACCGAGCCCTTCAGTGCCCTGTGAGCTCTTCTGGAATCTTCTCCCCCGCCCCCCCCCCATGGCCTGCTGTCAGTGAGGCATTCTCTTCTGATCGAAAAACCTTCCATCGCATGAATGTGACAGTGACAGCTGAGACCCTCAGCTAGGAGTTCAAGCCACACCTTAAAGGTCTGTGATCATCAGCTTCCGTTTGTTTATATTAATTCCTCAACAGATGTGCTATCTGATGTCCAGGAGCCTGGCCCAAGTGGTAAGGCCCTGTCTAGCAAGCATAAAGCCCTGAGTTCAAATCCCAGTGCAGCCAAAATACATTAGTATACACACAAAGGATTCCCTTTACATAATTAATTTGCACTAACCATTTTTTAGTATAGAAATGCACCAAGGGTCAGGTCACACTCAGTTGAAGAGAAGAAGAGAGGCTAGGAAGTGAGGGAAGGGAGGAAGGACTCAGCTTGAAGCTAGGCACTCTGGGAAGTGATCATTTTATGTGTCAACTTGACTGGACCACAAGGTACCCAGATATTTCCTGGGTGTGTCTGTTAAGAGTATTTCTGCATTTGATTAACATTTGGACAGGTAGGCCAAGTGGCACAGTTGACTCTTCCCGGAGTCGGGGTCATTATCCAGTCCTATAGAGATGTATCTTCTTCTGACCTCGGACTGGGACACCACCATTGGTCCTCCTCTCCCCAGCTGCCAACTACAGACCATGGTGGAGCATCAGCTTCAACGTTAGATGGGCCAATGCCTTACAATGAATCTCTCCTGCCTTTCCCCTCCTGCCTCCTCTCCCTTTATATTTTAGAAGTACTAGTGTTTGAAATCGGGCCCTAGCACTTTCTAGGCAGAAACTTGACCACTTGAATCACACACCCAGCTCCTTTGCTTTACTTATTTTTTAAACAGTATCTGGCCTGGCCTCAGACCATGATACCTTTACCTATACTTTCCATGTATCTTGGGTTACACACATAAACCACCATACCTGGTTTGTTGAGATTGGTTGGTGGGGTAGGGGAGACTTGGCTGCTCTTCAGCTAAAATCTACCTGATCACCCCTTCAAAAGGTGTAAGATACCCTTCCCAGTCACCCCCACCCCTGGCTTTCCCCCTATTTTTTTTCCTAGTCCTGGGGCTTGAACTCATGGCCTGGGCTGCTGTTCCTGAGCCTCTTAGTGCTCAAGGCTAGTGCTCTACCACTTGAGCCACAGCACCACCTTTGGCTTTTTTTTCTGAGTGGTTTATTAGAGATAAGAGTTTCACGCACTTTCCTGACTGGCTGGCTTGAAACCTCAATCCTCAGATCTTAGCCTCCTAAGTAGCCAGGATGACAGTCGCAAGCCACCAGTGCCCAGCTCCCTACTTCCCTTTTGAAACAGGGTCTTACCAAACCTCTTTCTTTTTGGTTTTTGGTTTTGGTGTTTAGTTCTTGTTTTTGTCAGTTGTAGGGCTTGAACTCAGGGTCTGGGGCATCCTTGAGCTTTTTCGCTCAAGGTTAGCACTCTACCACTTTGAGGCACAGCACCACTTTCGGTTTTTTGGTGGTGAATTGGAGATAAAAGTCTCATAGAGGCTGGGAAGGTGGCTCAGTGGTAGAGCGCTTGCCTTGCATGCATGAGGCCCTGGGTTCGATTCCTCAGCACCACATAAGCAGAAAAGAAAAAAACCGGAAGTGGTGCCGTGGCTCAAGTAGTAGAGTGCTAGCCTTGAGCTGAAGAGCTGAGGGACAGCGCCCAGGCCCAGAGTTCAGGCCCCATGACCGGACTCAAAAAAAAAAAAAAAAAGAAAGAAAGAAAAAAAGAAAAGAAAAAAGTCTCATGGACTTGCCTGCCCTGGCTGGCTTTGAACCGCAATCCTCAGATCTGTTTTCTGAGTAGCTAGGCATGAACCACCAGAATCTCTTTTTCTCTGGGAACCCTTGATGAACAGGCCCTCTCTCCGTTCTGTGTCTCAGCACCTCATTTCTTCCGTCCTGGAGCTTATCACTACCTGCAAGGACAATTTCCCTTCTTTATTTAATGTTTATTTCGAGGCCTGCCTGAGAGAGCAGAGACCTTATCTTTCTCGTTTAAAACACATCTGCGGTGCCCGTGTCAGGACCTGGCACTTAGCAAGCACTCAATAATTACAGAAGACAGAAGGGAGTGATGGTTGACAGAAAGGTAAGATCCAATATAAGCAAGAAAAGGGAAGTGAATCCTTCTCCTAAAATAGCCCCAATGCTTTCTGGGAGCTCCTGGTCCAAGTCTCAGCCCCCATCCCAAGCCAGCACTGCCAATGCCAGTCAGGTTACATTAACCCACTGGGATGCATGCTGTGTTGGTCTCTGAAATGAAGCGCTGGGTCTCTATCCTCGAAGACACTGCCTGTCACAGCCAGTGCTCCAAAGAAATGTCACATAGACCCCGAGGCCACCGATGGGGGTGGTTCAGAGCCGAGTCTCAGTGGACTGTTTGTTTGTTTGTTTGTTTAATTTTTGAACATTTTATTGGTTTAATACAGCCTACTTAGTAGAACCCTGGCCTTCGGGAGAGTTCACTAAAAGTTTTGAAGACAGCAAGCCCCAAACTATATCAGCATAGGGAATGGCCAAGATGTGCGGGCTGAAGGAGATGCCATCCCCCTGACTGCACCCATCAGAGAGAAACGTGATTCTGAGCAAAGAGGCCATCACCCCTCCACAGAGCCCCTGTCCTTCCTCTGCAAGTTGAGGCTTGGGTTCAGAGTTCAAGTGATGCTAAGTGGTAGTTCACCCAACCTGCTTCCTAAAATCCTATTACAAGAACGTAGCATTTAGCCAGGCGCCGGTGGTTCACACCTGTCATCCTAGCTCCTCAGGAGGCTGAGATCTGAGAGTCTTGCTTTGAAGCCAGCCTGGCTGGGAAGTCTGTGAGACCCTTGTCTCCAGTAAAACATCCAAAAGCTAGAAGCGGAGGTGTGGCTCAAATGGTAGAGTGCCAGTCTTGAGCAACAAAACCAAATAAAACAAAACCCCAAAACAAAAAAACACTAAGGAAAAGTGGCCAGGGCCTGAGTTCAGGCCTCGGGACTGGCCCACACGCAGATTGTAGCTTTTGCCTTTGGTACCATTTAGTTCATTTGGCCTCCTATGAACAGAACACATTAGAATGGGTTTTTAAATTACAAATAACAGATATTTATTTCTCACCAGTCTGGAGGCTGGAAGTATGGGCCCCACTGGTTCCAGTGAGGGACTGCTTCCGGTTCACACATGCCCAACTGCTCACTGCCTCCATCCCCATGGAGTAGGAGGTCGAGAGAGTCCTCCACTGAGGGTCTCCAATCTGAGGGCGTTAATCCTATGCAGCAGGGGGGGGGCATCCACATTCTGAGGGCCTCCCTTTCTAAAGGCCATCCCCCTGGGGGTGGGGCTTCATCTGGCAGGGGGTGGGGGACAGGGCCGGGAGGGGGACACAAACATTGTCTCATGTGCAAAGTTTCTTCGTTCTCTCAGGAACAAGTAAGAAGAGAAGAGTTCTTGCTCTCATGGAGAACTTGGATCTCTCACGGTGGGCAGTTCAGAGCAAGAACAGCGCGCCAAACTTTGCAGCCGGGAAACGCATGTTGTCCGGCCACCTTTAGTGCGTTTTAGCTGTCAGTCCGGAAGTTCGACTCCACTCGGCAGTGATTCCTTCCATCCTTCCTGGCTTCTCTGCTCTGCCGACTCCAGATTCCGAGATTGGTGATCCTACTGGACCTGCTCAGAAATTCAGACCTGGACCAAGCTCTCTGTCTGGCTCCTGACTGGGGTGATCATTCTCTCTCATTGGCATTTCTCTCTCCTGGAGAGGTGCCGCTGGCTGGGTTGGGTGGCTCAGTCTTCCTCATCCTCATCTTCGTCCTCTGTGTCCTTGTTTGGGGTGCATCTCTGGAAACACTGCACCACGGTGGCCAGGAAGAAGCTGGAGATGATGGCAGCGATGGAGACGGCCACCCCGGAGAAGATGATGATAAACAGGTCCGTGAGGGACAGGCTGAACTTGCACTCGCTGAAGCTGGCCTCAGACAGCTCTCGCAGAGCCACCCTTCGGTTCTCTGTGGGCAGGGAGCACTGGATGGCATCCAGGCCTGCAGAGAGGCCAGTGGAAGGGGAGAGAGAGAGAGAGAGAGAGAGAGAGTTAGCCTGTAGCCCATCACTTCCCAGAAGTACCCAAAGCTGGGTTGACCAAGCCAGCCTGGCAGGTGCATCTTGGTTTGGAGATGCCTGGGGTGGCCGTGGAAGGCACCATACTGGGTCTGGAGTCAGGACCTCTGCGGACTTCAATCCAGACCAAGGCAACAGCTGTCTATGGAGACAGGGAAGGCGGTGGCAGATGCCATGGGTGGCAGAGCGCCACCTCATGGAAGGAATCTCCTCTGCAGGCCACTCTCCAGTCTGCTGTGCCCTCTTCGCTGTCCTTAAGGTGGAACAGAAGCCGAGATGTGCACAGCCAGGTTGGTGGTAACCCTGAAAGGGTTTCTCTTGGCAGCTGGTCCTCAGAAGCCTGGCCCAGTCACCTAAAGATGCTGTTCAATGCAGGTTTCCAGGCTCACCCCTGTAGACCCGGGTGCAGGAATCTGCCATGAAATCACCAACTCTGCATGTTTAGTAGCCGGGTGATTGTCCTTCTGTTCCAGAGGGCCAGTTAGAGAAGCATTGGTTTTTCTTTTTCTTCATTGATACGAAGGTGTATTGTGAAAGGAATCCTTCCTTTTTTTTTCCCCTCCCTGCTCTTCCCTTCTTTTCTCTCCCTTCTCTTTATTTGTGCTTGGCCTCGGGCTTAGACTCAAGGTCTGGCACATTTGGGGGAGGGGGAGAGAAAGACAGTACTGAGGCTTTAACTCAGGGCCTGGGCACTGGCCTTAGCTATTTGGCCCAAAGCTGGTGCTCTACGTGAGCTTTTCAGTAATTAATTGGAGAGAAGAGTCTTACAGACTTTCCTGCTGAGGCTGGCTTTGAACTGAGGTCCTCAGCCTCCCAAGCAGTTAGGATTACAGGCACGAGGCACCAGCATCTTGCCTTTCAGTGCTCAGTTCTTCCGAGAACTGACCTCAGCTCATTTTCTGTATTATCTGATTTGCTCATTCCTTGCTAAATTATCAGCCAGTTACCCAATAAAAAAAAAGCAGCCCTGCCAATTGCCTGGGCTCTTCTCTCACGGCCTTTCTTCTCCAGCTCAGGAGACAAGGAAGATTGACTTGCCTCCTTCCTTCTATCCTAGACCATCCCTTAAGCATCCACAGCCAACCTGCTGCTTTCCTCCCCCTGGGAGCTGTTGCCTAGCAACCAGACTGGGCACTCTGCTCTGCCACCATCAGAACCTGTGTTAGAGACCTATGGAATTAATGTGGGCTGAGGCTCTATATCTTCCTCTTGCTTATATGCAACCAGAGTTTTACTTTTGTTATAAATAAATATAAATAAATATTACATATAATGACTATATATGTGATATATATATATAGAGAGAGAGAGAGAGAGAGTGTGTGTGTCAGAGTCAGTTCTGGGGCTTGAACTCAGGGCTTGGGCTCTGTCTCTGAGCCTCTTTGTGCTCAAGACTAGCACTCTATCACTTGAGCCACAGCACCACTTCTGGTTTTTAATTGGCTAATTAGAGATAAGGGTCTCACGGGGACTTTCCTGCCCAGGCCTGCTTTGAACCGCAATCCTCAGATTTCAGCCTCCTGAGTAGCTAGGATTACAAGTGTGAGCCACTTTTGCCAGGCCTGTTATAACTACTAACATCTATTAATTGTGAAACTCAGTGGAACTCACTGAACTATATCCATAATGAATATACTGATATATATATATATATAATATATGCTGACACTGATATATTTCCATCATGAATATACAGTTATCCACTATATATCTATATCTATCTATCTATCTATATCCTGATCCTGTCCCTTCCCTCTACTTCCTTCCCTCTTTTTTTTTTTTTTTTGGTCGGTCATGGGGCTTGAACCCTGGGCCTGGGCGCTGTCCCTCAGCTCTTCAGCTCAAGGAGAGCGCTCTACCACTTGAGCTACAGCGCCACTTCCGGTTTTCTGGTGGTTTATTGGAGATAGGAGTCGATTCACTTTCTGGACTGGGCTGGCTTTGAACCACAATCCTCAGATCTCAGCCTCCTGAGTAGCTAGGATTACAGGCATGAGCCACCAGCGCCCGGCTACTTCCTTCCTCTTGAGCACAGGGCTCCTTCTATTTTGTTGTTTGTGGCACTGGAGAGTGAATGAACTTAGGGCCTCATACTTAACTACACAAGCAATATATCTACCACTTGAGCCAGGCCAAAGTCCTCAGCCACAGTTTGTGTGCGTGTGCATGTGTGCGTGTGTTTGTATGGGTGTAATAGGAGTAAGGCTTGAACTCAGGATATCAAGATCTCCTTTGGCTTTTTCTGCTCAAAGCTAGTGCTCTACCCATTGAGTTACAGCTCTATTTCTAGATTGTTGCTGGTTAATTAAAAATCAGAGTCTCATAAGGGTTTCTGTCTTCAAGATCCTCATATCTCACTCTTCTTGGTAGCTAGGATTATGAGCTTCAGCCACCAGTGCCCATCTAACCACTGTTTTTGACTATTTATTTTTCCTTTTTTAAAAAAGGCCAAAATATAGGCTGGAGGCATGGCTCAAGTATAGAGTACCAGGCAAACAAGCAAGTTGAGCAGGTAGGTCCTGGATTCAAGTATGATACTGATAAAAGGGAGGGGAATAGATACATGACTCAGTTGGCAGAGTACCAGCCAATCAGTGAAAGTAGCAGGTACCAAATTTGAGTCCCAGTCTTAGATATAGGAAGGAAGGAAGGAAGGAAAGAAGGAAGGAAGGAAGGAAGGAAGGAAGGAAGGAAGGAAGGAAG